CGCTCTGCTGCTGGCTCTGCCCCTCTTACCGGTTTGGCTGAAGGGTTCCTCCTTGTCAGACTTCCATATAGTTCAATTTTCTGTGGTTTGGCTGTGGTTTTGTTGCTAAAACTTTGTTATTTTTAAACTTGGTTGTGTGAGAAGGCGCAGTGCTTCCACCTATGCCTCCATCTTGGTGGAAGTCCCACAAGTGGAAAACTTATTTGAACAAATAATAAAGGAGAATTTCCCCAATCTGGCAAAGGAAATAGACTTCCAGGAAGCTCAGAGAGTCCCAAAGAAGTTGGACCCAAGAAGGAACACACCAGGGCACATCATAATTACATTAGCCAAGATTAAAATGAAAGAGAGAATTCTAGAAGCAGCAAGAGATAAGGGGACAGTCACCTACAAAGGAGTTCCCATCAGACTGTCAATTAGCTGATTTCTCAAAAGAGACCTTACAGGCAAGAAGGGGCTGGAAAGAAGTATTTCAAGTCATGAAATCCAAAGACCTACATCCAAGATTACTCTATCCAACAAAGCTTTCATTTAGAATGGAAGGACAGATAAAGTGCTTCTCAGATAAGATCAAATTCAAGGAGTTCATTATCACCAAGCCCTTATTATATGAAATGTTGAAGAGACTTATCTAAGAAAAAGAAGATAAAAAAGATGAACAGTGAAAGGACAGCCAACTCACAGTTATTAAGAGCCACACCTAAAACAAAAGCAAACTAAGAGGACAGCTAGATCAGGAGTGAACCATAGAAATGAAGACCACATGGAGGGTTAGCAACAGGGGAGTGGGAGAAGGAGAAGGGGGGAGAAGGTACAGAAAATAAGCATAGATGGTAGGTAGAAAATAGACAGTGGGAAGGGCAAAAATAGTAGGGGAGATATAGAATCTAAAGAACTTGTGACACATGGACATAAACAAAAGGGGGTGGAACGGTGGGGGAGGAGGTGTGCCGGGTGGAGGGGAATGAATGGGGGAATAGAACAAATGTAATGGCATAATCAATAAAATATATTAAAAAATAAAATATAAGAAGCCCTGGCTGGTGTAGCTCAGTGGATTGAGCATGGGCCTGCGAACCAAAAGATCATGGTTCGATTCCTTGTCAAGGCACATGCCTGGGTTGCAGGCCAGTTCCCAGCAGGGGATGCACCAGAAGCAACCATACATTGAAATATATATATGTATAATAAAAAATATAAAATAAAATGAAATTCTACATATTAGTCTATTATATGGTTATATTATAATTTATTTAGCCATTCTTTTGTATAAGATATTTAGGTGCTTTACAACTTTTCCTATTTATAAATATTAACATGCATCTTGCTATGTCTACATTTCAAATTATTTCCTTATAATTATTCATGTATTCTTGTTCTCTTTTAATGGCCTTTAGTCCTACTCTTGTGAGGAAGTATGCGATCCCAGGAAACTTTAAATTCCTTAAGGGCCATTCCTCTTTTTTTGTGAATCCATGTAATCCCCAGGGTTAGGCCTGCAGCTCCTGCAGGAAGCTCCCAGTTTCCTAGAGCGAGTCAGGAACTTCTCATCTTACTTCCCACAGCACTGTGCCCTGGAGTTGCCATAGCCCTCATCACTCAGTGATCATTATACATACCCACACAAGATCATAAGATGCAACAGGAAACCAAGGGCTAAATGTGCTTATACCTCTAGCCCTTCGTCTATAGGAGGCCCTTAATAAATGTTTCTTGAGAGAGTGAGTCAGAAGTTCAAGGTCCTAGACCCGACTAGAAATCTTGAGACAAAGAACAATAGCCAGGATTTTGGAATGGCCTGGCAAGTGTGCCACACAAAAATTATGCGCTGGAAAGGGCACGGGGGTTGCCTCATTCAGGAGTTTTCAATTCTTCTTTTATGACCACAGTGTAACCTATGATATTAAATAGATAAGTAGATAAATAGCAGAGATAGAGGGGAAGATGCTGGAAATTGAGGAATTGTGGAATTTTCTCTGTGGCCCAAGATACCACAATGAAACCAAGCCATAAAAAGGATTGATTGAGTCTGGCTGATGTGTCTCAGTGGATTGAGTGCCCACCTGAGAACCAAAGGGTCACTAGCTTGAGTCCCAGTCAGGGCACATGCCTGGGTTGTGGGCCAGATCCTCAGTTGAGAGGCAACCACACAGTGATGTTTCTCTCCCGCTTTCTCCCTCCCATCTCCTCTCTCTAAAAATAAATAAATAAAATCTTTTTATTTTTTTCTTTTTTCTAAGATTTTATTTATTTATCTTTAGAGGGGAAGGGAAGGAGAGAGGGAGAGAATTATCAATGTATGGTTGCCTCTCGTGTGCCCCCTGCCAGGAACTGGCCTGCAACCCAGGCATGTGCTGTGACTGGGAATCAAACTGCGATACTCTGTTTCGCAGGCCTGCGCTCAATCCACTGAGCTACACCAGCCAGGGCTTAAATAAATCTTTTTAAAAGAGCTAGTCTATTACTCCAATTGTATAGACCAAGGAAAAGGTGCTCTTGAGCAAGAGAGTGACTTGTTCAAGGTCACACAATGAGGAACTGAGGGGGAAAAGGGACTCAGTTCTAACTCCTATTCACAAAATATTCCTCTATTCAATAATCCAGTCTCTGAGGAGGACCTTTAAAGCACCTCACATTTCTTCTGCAATCACCTGAAATTCCACTAACCAAAACCTGTTGCTTGGTATTGTCCCTATGTAGCGTATTTTCAAAGTAAAATTAATTCTATGGAAAAAATTTTCAGAGACTTCCGCCAAGATGGAGGCATAGGTGGAAGCACTGCGCCTTCTCACACAATCAAGTTTAAAAATAACAAAGTTTTAGCAACAAAACCACAGCCAAACCACAGAAAATTGAACTACACGAAAGTCTGACAAGAACGAACCCTTCAGCCAAACCAGTAAGAGGGGCAGAGCCAGCAGCAGAGCAGGATCGGGCAGGAAAGATCCACCAACCTCGGCGCGCTGCAGATCCCAGGTGTGGAGTAGCGGGCGGACACACTGAGGGCTGACCACAGTTTCACATTCAAGCACAGATAAACCAGTGAAGGAGCGAAGTGGTGAGACAGACTATGTAGGCCCCGGTGGTGGAAAGTGGCAGAGGGGACCGCCATTGTCCCTCTCTGACCCCACCCCCACATACAGCATCACAAACCAGCAATCTGGGTAGCCCCGCCCTGATGAACACCTCCTCGTATGTAACAGGCACAAACAGATCAAAACATGGCTCAAGAACAACTCAGGGCCTCAGAGACAATCAATCTAAGTGATGAAGAAATAGCCAAACTTTCAGATGCACAGTTGAAAACACTGGTGATCAGGATGCTCACAGAATTGGTTGATTTTAGTCACAAATTAGAGGAACATATGAAGGCTAAACTAATTGAAATTAATGGAAATGCACAGGAAACCAATAGTAATGGAAAGGAAACTGGGACTCAAATCAAAGTAGTGGACCAGAAAGAGGAAAAAGAAATGACCAAACAGAAAAGGATGAAGAAACAAGATTTCAAAAAACTGAGGAGAGGCTTAGAAAACTTCAGGACATCTTTAAATGTTCCAACTTATAGGGGTACCAGAAGGAGAAGAGGAACAGCCACGAGTGGAACACTTATTTGAACACATAATAAAGGAGAATTTCCCCAATCTGACAAAGGAAATAGACTTCCAGGAAGTCCAGGAAGTTCAGAGTCCCAAAGAAGTTGGACCCAAGAAGGAACACACCAAGGCACATCATAATTACATTAGCCAAAATTAAAATGAAGGAGAGAATCCTAGAAGCAGCAGGAAATAAGGGGACAGTCACCTACAATAGAGTTCCCATCAGACTGTCAGCTGATTTCTCAGAAGACACCTTACAGGCAAGAAGGGACTGGAAAGAGGTATTCCAAGTCATGAAATCCAGAGACCTACAACCAAGATTGCTCTATCCAGCAAAGCTTTCATTTAGAATGGAAGGGCAGATAAAGTGCTTCTCAGATAAGATCAAATTCAAGGAGTTCATCATCACCAAGCCCTTATTATATGAAATGTTAAAGGGACTTACCTAAGAAAAAGGAGATAAAAAAGATGAACAGTGAAAGGACAGCAAACTCACAGTTATTAACAACCACACCTAAAACAAAAGCAGACTAAGAGGACAGCAAGATCAGGAGCAGAGCCATAGAAATGAAGACCACATGGAGGGTTAGCAACAGGGGAATGGGAGGAGGAGAAGAGGGGAAAATGTACAGAAAATAAGCAGCATAGACAGCAGGTAGAAAATAGATAGGGGGGAGGGCAAGAGTAGTGTGGGAAATGTAGAATCCAAAGAACTTGAGACACGTGGTCATAAACTAAAGGGGTGGAATGGTGGGGGAGGGGTGTGCAGGGTGGAGGGGAATGAAGGGGGGAATAGAACTGTAATGGCATAATCAATAAAATGTATTTAAAAAATTTTTTTCAAAATTTTTATGGGCATAAGGAAGTATCACACACCGAGCAGTCATTACAAAGCTTTTTTTTTTTTTTTTTTTAAACTTTTAGAGAGAGGGCAAAGAGAGGGGGGAGACACATGGAATGGTTGCCTCTTGCATACCCCCAGCTGGGGACTTGGCCAACAACCAGGTATGTGCCCTGACTAGGAATCAAACTAGGGATATTTCAGTTCACAGGCCAGTGCTCAATCAACTGAGCCACACCAGCCAGAAATAAACCTCAGTTCTTGAATGTCTCCTATGCCAACATTCGGTTCTCAACCGAGTTGTTCATTGGGGGAAAATGTCTCAGTTGTCAAACAAAACTTCGGTTTTTTAACCTGACAAGTCTTTCACGTTGATGTGTGTATGATCAGTCATGCATCTCTCAGGCAACAAAGGAGAAATTGCGTGAGTATGAGTATGATTCGGCACCACGAGACACTCTGTGGCCGAGTTTCTTCCGCAAATATACCAGCAATTACGCCCACCGTTCTGTCCCAGCCAGGAGGACCGGGACCTTGGTTCCTGCGGTCCTCTCTATGGTTTTCCCACAGACTAGAAGGGCCGAAAGGGCACTTCCGGGAAGATGGCGGCATAGCAGTGTGTCGTGGCGCGTGTGTCGTGGAGAGGGCCTTATAGTGACTGAAGGTAAGGGGTTACTGTCTCTTGAGAGGTGGCAGGTGGTGCTCCAAGTAAAACTGCGGCGTGAGGGCTGGAATTTAGACCTCAACAGAGAGGAGGTCAAGGGAAAAATTTTAGTCGGCTCTTTAGAACCTCAGTAAAAAGAGTGGCCCTGGACCACTCCAGGAAACTTGGATTGACTGGAGAGACAGTTCCTGAACATGTGCTCGCAGCCTTCACAAAGACTGCGGCGTAGAGTCTGGGACCTAGTTGCTTTTGTCCCCAGGTATCCATTGTTATGTCCGTTACAGCAACTCCCTCCTATGCCATTCAGTTCAGCAGATAACGCCTGGACGCCTTCTCATTCTCCGAATGCACTGGGGTTGGGGAATGAAGGCCGCTTTGACTCCCAGTCCAGGGCGTATTGTTTCGAATTACCGCGACAAGAGATAGGCTGTGCGAAGACAACAACAGAAATCACAAAGAGCTATGACAGACTGAGGAATGTATGATTACTGTAACACCAGTTCTGGAATGCCTGAGATCCTGGGTCCACAATTTGCCAGTTACTTGATTTGGACAAGTGACTAAACCTCTCAGTGCCATTTCTTCGTTTGCAAATTACAGTAATACCACGTGGTAAAAGGGTTGTTGGAGGATTAAATGAATAATCTGTGTCAAGCAATTAGCAACAGGCTGTCATCAAGTAAGTGTGTATTTGCATAAGTAAATGCATTGAGTAAAATGCAATAAGTAAAAATACTGTTATTGAAGTCTGGTGACTGAAAGATCAGGGATAACTTCTGAGAAGAGGCAGAGTTTTGAGTCAACTGTAAAGGCCTCATTGTTTGAATTTTAATTCTTTTTAACAGTATCAAGTAGCAAGATGGGGCCACTTTTTCACTCAGTGCTTTTCTGTTGGGATTCTCAAGGTATCAACTAGGTTGACAGGTAATCGTCCTTCACAATAGAAATGTGAACCAAAATGTGAGTCGGTCTTGATTTGCCAGCCTGCAAATGTAACATACAGTGTTTAAGAGGGGTGGTTAGTGATGTGTCTGATTTTTTTTAAAGCATACTTACTAGACCTTCCTAGACTCACAGGAAAGTTTTACCTTCAGAGCTGTCATTTTGAGAAGCTACAGGGTTACTCTAGTAGTGCCATTCATTGTTCAGCTTTAAAAATGGTCTGCAGTGCCTTTAAAATTATCTTAATACAGGTTAACTTTAGTGAATCAAGTCAGCAGTGGCAGTAGTTTTGAATGTCTTGTGTGATAAGCCATCTTAATCATTTCAGAGGCAAATTTGGTGCATAAGTTCGATAATGCCACTTTAGAGTCCAAAAGGAGGAACAGCAGAGTGACTATTAAAAACATGCAGTTAGCCCTGGCTGGTGTGGCTCAGAGGATTGAGTGTCAGCCTGCAAATTGAAAGGTCACTGGTTCGATTCCCTGTGGGGGAATAAATGCCATTAGTTGGGGATGTGATAGAAAGAAGGACACTTTAGAGTCAGGCAACCTGGGCTCATATTCCAGCTCCATCGCTTACTAGCTATGTAACCTCAGGCAAGAAACACAGGCTTTGTTTCCTCATTTATACAATGAGGAAACAAATGAGGAAACTTGACAGGATTGTCAGGATTAAATGAGACAGTATAATATGTGTAATCCAGCTGCTGTGCATCAAATGCTCAGTAAGAGTACCCTTCTTAAGCTGGACAATTTCAGGAGGGGTACTCCAACAAGGGTCAAAGACAGTGGCAGTGGGGAAGAGATGCGTAGCCCCCACACCAAGAAGACAGTGTAACTACTATGGCACAGGTATAGGATATGGGCTCTATTAAGTACTGTTTTAACTCAGGTTAACAAACATCTCATTGCTTTGTTTTTACATGGCTGATGTTCTCATGTAGTGGTAAAGAGTTGGAGACTCTCAGACAAGCTGCCTAGGTTTCATTTCTATATACATTAGCTACATGACCTTGAGCAAATCATCTAACCTCTTTAGGCCTGTTTCCTCAATTGTAAAAAGGGGATAATCATACTTTCCTGAATGTAAAGTTCAGGAAATCTTCCTGGGTTGGAAAGATTAAATGACAATCCATGTAAGGCCTTAGCACAGCCTGGCCTGTGGTAGGTGAGCTCTCCAGAAGTGTAGGTATTATTAATAATACCTTTTGACATGTTGGTGTTGACCTCTTTGTGGTCAGACAGGAAGCTCCCCAAGGACCAGGCCTCTGAGCCTATCTCTGCCTCAGCCTCAGGAAATAATTCTTATAAAAGCAATCGGTGGATTTGATGTATGATGTATGATGTGTCCCTTTCTCCTTTCCTCTTAAAGGGATAAGTGACCTCTTCTTTGATGAGGACCTGAAGACAATTACTCTTTTTTCACCATGAGTATCATCAACCCAGAGGTCAAGAGTCATGGGATGAAGTTTGCTGAGGAGCAGCTGCTAAAGCATGGATGGACTCAAGGTGATCTCCATGGGGTAACTTATGCATCACCCCAATTCACTGCCCACCCTCTGCCCAGGGGAAAGTCATCATCCTCAATTATCTCTATGCAGTCCATTCAACTGGAGGAGGAAAAGCTAGCTTAAAGGGAAATTTGCAGAAGAAAATTTGACATTCACAGAAGAGGAGAGGAAGAAATTTGACAATGGATAGTAAGAAATAAGTGGTTGGGAAGACTGGGGCAGAGGGGAAGAAACATGACCTCTGCCCCAAAGGAATTAATGAAGGAAAAGAGCTTGGCTCCAGATAAAGGCAGGGCATTGCATCGAGAGGTGCCAGAAAGAACTACTGGGAGGGCTTCCAAAAGAGACGGAGTTTGCCCACTGGTAGATGCGTGGAATGGCAAGGAATGGCATGTGCTGGTGTGCCTTGTGAGGGTGTGGGCAGGCAGAATAAGCTAAGTCACTTACTGTCTTCTGCAGGGAAAGGCCTGGGCCGAAAGGAGAATGGCATCACCCAGGCCCTCAGGATAAGGCTAAAGCAGGACACTCATGGGGTAAGACTGGGCAGGCTTGTGGGGGTATAGATGGCAGAGGGGAACCCTTGAGGACAGGGAGGCAGGTTCAGAGTTCATACTTCTTCCTTTGGCAGGTGGGACACGATCCCTCCAAGGAGTTCACAAACCACTGGTGGAATGAGCTCTTCAATAAAACTGCAGCCAACTTGGTAGTCGAAACTAGACAGGTATGAACTCTAATAGATGGGCACATGAAACATAAGGGCCTGGGACATGTGGAAGTGAGGGAGACATGGTATATCATCAACTCACTGATCTTCCCCACAGGATGGAGTACAGATAAAGCACCTTTCTAAGGAGACCACCCGTCATAATCATCCCAAGCCCAACTTGCTGTATCAAAAGTTTGTGAAGGTATTAGAAGTTGGGGGTGAGAGAGTTCATCCTTTTTTACTCTTCTGTGGGGCCTGAACAATTGCCTTGTATGCCCTACCTATTCTCAGGACCATCCTAAGATAGTGGGATCCTGCAGCTAACCTTGCTGTTGCTTAATTAGACTGCCCCAACTTTAGGCAAGAATTGAGATCTTCAGGTTACATGGACCCCTACCTTCAGCTGAGGGGGCAGCAACAGACTGGGAGGTAGGGCATAGTCAGGAGCTGCCAGAGTGGGGCAGGGAGGGGATGTCTAATTCAAAGGACTTAGAAGTCAGAGACCTGAGAGATTATCTGATCCATCCTTTTTATTTTGCACATGTGGCCAAAAGGGGGAGGGAGGCTTGTGGAAGAGCCCACAGCTTGCTGGTAATGGCAGACAGGACTAGAATTCAGGTCTTCAGACTCCCACCTACTAGCATACCAATAGAAGGGAACTAATATTTTTTTTAATTCTTATTTTATTGATTATGCCATTACAGTTCTATTCCCCCTCTTCATTCCCCTCCACCCTGCACCCCCCACCCCTACCATTCCCCCCTTTAGTTTATGACCATGTGTCTCAAGTTCTTTGGATTCTATATTTCCCATACTATTCTTGCCCTCCCCCTATCTATTTTCTACCTACCGTCTATGCTTATTTTCTGTACTTTCTCCCCCCTTCTCCTTCTCCCACTCCCCTGTTGCTAACCCTCCATGAGATCTTTATTTCTATGGTTCTGCTCCTGATCTAGCTGTCCTCTTAGTTTGCTTTTGTTTTAGATGTGGTTGTTAATAACTGTGAGTTTGCTGTCCTTTCACTGTTCATCTTTTTTATCTTCTTTTTCTTAGGTAAGTCCCTTTCACATTTCATATAATAAGGGCTTGGTGATGATGAACTCCTTGAATTTGATCTTATCTGAGAAGCACTTTACCTGCCCTTCCATTCTAAATGAAAGCTTTGCTGGATAGAGCAATCTTGGTTGTAGGTCTCTGGATTTCATGAATTGGAATACCTCTTTCCAGCCAGAAGGGAACTAATATTAACTAGTCACCTATTATGTGCCAAGGGCTCTACATGGTAACTAGCAAATCTTTACCATTTCTGTTCATCTCTGTGGCCATCTTCCACCCCAGACCATCACCATTTCCTGCCTAATTTCTTCTATGGCTTCATAACCAGACTCATCACTTCATCCTCCACAAAGCATCCAGAACGTTCTGAACTCACTGTGTCACTGACTCCTCCTTGACTTAGTATGACACAGGCTGAATTTATCAGACTGGCTCATATGGCCCTTCAAGCTTTGTCCCTGCCAATTTCTCTAGCCGCCCCTGCTTGCCACATCTCTCAGGATTTCTCTACTTTAGCCAGATGGAATCATTCTTAAGTTGGCATGTTCTTTCACCTTCAAGTTGTTGTACATGCTATTCTGCCTGCCTGTTCCCTTTCCTCCTTTTACCTGATTTTTTCTTGTCTCTCAGAGCTCAGGTCTTTGTAGAAATTATTCCCCAAAGTGAGCAGGTACCACTCCTCCAGCCCAGGCAAACTTTCATTGTAATTGTCTATGTTCTGTCCTACTCCTTTCCCCTCACATGTAGGTTCCATCTGGGCAGGACACATCTCACACGTATTCCACTCTGTATCCCCAACACTCGGCCACAGCAGGTTCTCAATCTGGTCAAATAAAGTACTGTGCATAGGTGTTGGGGGTGGCGGGGGGGAAAGTGCCATCTTCACTGTCAGTTACTAAGGACCATGGAATGACCATCAGGGGCACTTGTCCCACAGTGAAGACCTGATGGCCCACAGTAGTTTCTCTATTGTTCTGCTCACTAGCCAGGGAAGGCCAGCACTCCCCATCCCCACACCCCTCCTCCTGTCCAAGTTGAAGTATACAGCTTGGTGCACCTCTCTGTGTGGGTCTGCCAAGGAGCTGTACTGGGGGGTGGCAGATTTGTGTGTATGGTTATGATTGCTGGGGGAGAGGAGTTCCAGGAAGGAAAAGGGATGGCAGTGGTGTTGAGCGGACCTTGTCTACCTCATGATCCCTCCTCCTAGATGGCCACACTGACTTCAGGTGGGGAGAAGCCAGACAAGGACTCGGAAAGCTGCAGTGATGACAACCACCAGGGGCCTCAGCCTCCAAAAATGTGAGACTCATTTTAGCGCTGGGGTCAGGTAGGAGATGCTTAAGATCTCAAGAGAAAGGACCAAGTCTAATACTTGACTGTGGGCTTCTTCAGGGTGGAACTGTGTTGTACTAATCTTTGTATCCCCTGTACCTAGAAAAATACCAGGTCTGAACAGGAACTCAGTGTTAAAAGAATGTTTTAGAGGGGAGGAGAGGTCAAGCTTTTCTACCAGATGTTTGTAATTTTTTAAAATTTCATTTATCTTTAGAGGGGAAGGGAAGGAGAAAGGGAGAGAAATATCAATGTATGGTTGCCTCTCATGAGTCCCCTGCTAGGAACTGGCCTGTAACCCAGGCATGTGCCCTGACTGGGAATCGAACTGCAATCCTCTGGTTCGCAGGCCTGCACTCAATCCACTGAGCTACACCAGCCAGGGCTATAATTTTTTATTTCTCCCCTAATCCCACAACAGTCTGACTGATGAGATGTTGCTCCAAGCCTGTGAGGGGCGAACAGCACACAAGTAAGTAATAGCTCCCGGGTCTCCCTTATCTCCCCATCATAAGCCTACCCCTGATGATAGCCTATACCACTTTTTAAAAAAATAATATTTATTGTTTTTTTCCTATTGCCATTTAATCCTCTTATAGCCTCCCCCCCCCCCCCCCCAGTAATCATCACACTGTTGTCCATGAGTCCTTTTTCCTTTTTGCTCAATCCCTCCACCCCCTAGTCTTCCCCCACCCCCCAGCCACTAGCTGTGAGTGCTGTCTTTCACTCCAGGGAAATGATTTATGCTATCTGTCCATCTCTCTGAAGCTACTTGAAGATAGACAGCCCCTCCCCTACCAGTTTCCCCTGCAGTCTCAAGAATTAGGTGTATTTTTTCCCAAGATCCTCCCTCTGATGTTGGCCCTATTTCAGAGCTGCCCGTCTTGGGATTACGATGAAGGCTAAGCTTGCTCGGTTAGAGGCCCAGGAGCAGGCCTTCCTGGATCGGCTTAAAGGCCAGGACCCTGGGATCCCTCAACCGCCGTGTGAGTGCAAGCCCCTCAAAAAAAAGAAAAAGAAAAGGAAGCAGAAAAAAGAGGAAGAGGCTATAGCAACTGAAAGGAATGCAGAAAAGGAATACCCAGATCACACTGACCAGAGCATCAGGAAAAGCAAGAAGAAAAGACAACATCAAGAAGAAAAGGTCACGGATGACAGAGAGGGAATAACCATAGATGAGAAAGATGCTACAGGAACAAGAGAGCTTGGGGAACTAAAGGGTGGAGAACAAACTGATGAGTGCTCCAGGAAAAGGAAGAAAAAGAGGCAGCACCATGAGGAGAAGCTGGGGGTCTCAGGTAAAGAATGCAGAACAGAGGTAGAGAGCCGAGCACACACTGATCCATGCAGCAGAAGCAAGAGGCAGCAGAATGAGGAAGAAGACATGGACACAGAGGATAAAGAAGTTGTGGAGGCTGTTGTAGATAGTGGGACCAGGGAAGCAGAAAGCAGAGCATGCAGTGATAGGAAAAGCAAGAATAAGAAAAAAAAAAGCAGCAATAAGAAAAGACAGCAGCATCAAGAGGATGTCTTGGCTGTAAGGAATGGACATGACAGTGGTAGCACTAGGGAGAGCTCAAGCCACGGAGGAAAGAGGAGGAGGCAGAAGCAAGCAGAGGAGGAAAGAACCAGAGTCAGCACTGACCAGAGAGCAAAAAAAAGAAAGAGAGACTGAAGGTCAGGTGAGGGTAGGGGCCACAGAGACCTGGGCTGATAGGTTCTCCTGAACCCTCCCAGTGAGGGGTCCTTCTCAAGGAGAAAACTGAGCTCTGGAATACCAGCCTGCTGGAGAGGACAGAGGTATCACTATACCTTAGTTGGGGGAGTGGGCATCTTCTCTTGTGCAGCTTCTGACAAATGCCGGTAGGAGCCAAGCAGCCAAGGGACAGGGAGTGCTGAGGTGAGGGTTGTGGGGACAGGAATGCAGATACTCTCTGAATGGGTATCCTCACTAAAAGAAGCTGGAAATGTGGACTTCTGTGGCATGTCCTGGGTTTTGTTTGTTTTTATATGAAGCCAAGTAGGTCTGTGCGCTAGTTTCTAACACTGGCAAATGATTTGATAAACGTCCGTTTAGGCTCCTACCCTATATATGTCTGGATTGGCATCTCCATTCCCAGCTTGGGAAGGTCCTGAATACAAGAGTCTCCTTGGAGGCCCCTGAAGAAATTTCTTCTGTTAATCTCCTGTGGTCTTACTACACTGTTAATGGAAAGGTAAAGCTCAGAGAACCACAGCCCCCCTTCCAGTGTTCTCTGTGTCCCTAATGGGTAAGGTGTGTGTGTGTGTGTGTGTGTGTGTAAAGGACAAACACCTCACTTGGGAGCCTTTTTCAGGACATCTGAAAGTCCATTTTTATTGCCCCCAAATGCCACAGCAACCTCTCTTGTTTGGTCTGCTTCCCCAGAGATGGCATGATATCTCCACTGTTGCCTGCCATCCATGAACTTTTGCTGCCAGGAAAGCTCTCAGGTTTCCACAGTTCTGGGAGAGAGAAGCACTAAATCTTCATTGGGAAGAACACCCACCCACCTTCTCTCAGTGCAGACGATACACACACTCGGTGTCAGGGTACTGTGGCAGATTCAGCTGGTACTTCTTTTCTAGAGCAGGTGGCACAAAACGACCCCCCAGATAGTGGTAGCGACCAGTAAACAGGGTGGCAGACTTTTTGGGTGCAGTCAAGGAGATGAGCAAGTCTGGCTGGATCCCGCCATGGTTTCCCTTCTCCACATCCCACCCTGAAAAAAGGGTTGTATTCAGGAAGAGCAGAAGAGGCCAGATGTCTAGTCCCCTTCCAAACCTTGCTCTGTCCTAGTTCTAAAGGAATGGGAAACCCCCGGCATCCCCACCCGAGAAACTTGCATCCTTGGAGCTCCATGTATCCCTGGGCTTTGGTCTCTTTAGAGCCAACATGTAAAGAGTGCTCCTGAACTCAGCTCCTCCACTATGTTCTGCACCTCTAAACTCATTTTAGACTTGGTCTGAGTCTTGGGTCAAGACATAGGTCTCTTAGGTACCTAACTCAAGACAAGGCAGGACCCCAATCCCAACCTCCTTGGACCCAGTACCTGAGGGAATGTCAATGCTGGCAATGGGCACAGTGAGTCCATTCAGAACGCTCAAGACGCTGCGGAATGGCTCCCGAACATCGCCCTTGAAGCTGAAGCCAAAGATGGCATCCACCACCAGGTTGTATAGTTCATCGATCAGCATGGGCTGTGGTGGAGCAGGAAAAGTAAAGGATGTTAGAACCAGCAGCAACACAAAGAGCTCTTAACAGGAGTGGACTGTCCTCTGTACCCTCTGTACCACAGACCACTCACAGAGGCACAAATACAGTTGTCTCATTCAGATGGCATTTTGAGGCCTAGAATTAAGTGTAAGTTGGTTCCTGATTCAGGCCAAGCTGAGTCCAGACACCAGGTTCTGCCTTCCTGCCACTGGGGAGGCCACAGGATGGGAAAGTCTGAGACTGGGAGTCAGGAGGGGCAGGTTCTGGTCTCAGCTCTGCTGTGATCTGGTCTGTGGCTCTGGACAAACCACTTTCTACCCTTTGCTGCACCTTAGTCTCTCTTCATCTGTAAAACGTGTTAAGAAATTACAAAAACAAAAAGCTCTCAAGTTTCCCACCTCTAAATCCATGCATCTGGAGAAAGGGTTTAGGCCTTCACTTCAGTTCCTAAGGGGCAAATAATATGTATATGTTTCCCTACAATAACATTGTAGGGAAAGAGGAAGGACTACAGAATAAAAGGCTCTTACACCACTTCTGTTCAAATAGCATACACTGGGCGCCTTCGGTGCCAGGCATTATTCTTACCCAATAAGAGTGTAGAGCAGGGGTGTCAAACTAATTTTCATGGGGTGGGGAGGGACACATCAGCTTCAAGGTTTCCTTCATAGGGCGGAAATAATTTTAGGACTGTACAAATGTAACTACTCCTTAACTGTTAAGGAGTTGAAATTACATTCAGCCCTTTGAAGGCAACCACAAGGCTGGTGTGGCCCCCGGTGAAAATCAGTTTGACACCCCCGGTCTAGAGGAAGATAAGCAGATGAAGAGCAGGACACTGGTTATTGTGGAGGAGGGCACTTGAGACCAGAGGTACCTACCTCTGGGGGCATTTCACCAAGGAAAGGGATGTCCATTTTCTGACACTGGGTCACCAGGGCAGTAAAGAGTGGCTTGTTAGGCCTTTTGGGGTAATGGATGGTTGGCTGGTAACCCTACGAGGAAAGGCAAGAGGTAATTCATGCCCAGCTCCTAAAAACCGCATAGCCTCTCCACAGCTTTTTACATACTCACAAAGAGTTTGAGGTGTCTCGCACAGACCAGGCCATCTCCTCCATTATTCCCGGGGCCACAGATAACCAGAACAGTAGGGGGGTTCCTGGACATGGACGTCGGGGGATATGCCTGAAGGCAGAGTCACGGGATTCAGAGGAGCTTCGGGCCGTCACAACGCAAGCTTGGCCCAGCTGTCCCTCCCCCCTCCATTGTGCCTCGCCAAGGAGACAGTTTAAGAGCTGCACCACTGACCTTGGCAATGGCTGTAGCACAGCTCAGCCCAGCCAACTCCATAAGTTGGTCCACGCTGAACTGGTACTCGTTAAACAGCTCCTCGTCCACAGCCTGAGCCTCCTCCTGGCTGAGGAAACCCTCTGCTCAGGGTCTCGCTCAAGCAAGAGCACACCGCCCAATGCCTGCGCCCCATGGTAGCCCCGCCTACCTCAAATACCTCAGCGCGGTGCTAGCCATAACCTCTGGGTCCCCGTAGCCCCCCGAGCGCAGCCGCTGTGGCCCCCACCACGTGGGTCCCGCGCGACAGATGTTGGCTTGAGCTCTGACGTGTGGCAGGCGCGAGCCCACCACCAGCAGCCCGAGCCCCAGCAGAGACCGCAGACTCGACATTCAACCAGCGTACTAGCGCGCGCCAGCCGGACCGCCCTGGCGCATGCGCAGCGCCCCATCCCCGCCCCCAAGAAGCAGGCGGGGCACTCCGAGTCAGAATTCTTCCTAGGCTCCGACTGCTTAGAAGTGCCCACGGGGTGAGGCCTCTGTCCTTGCACTCAGGATCCCAGACCTCCTTTCCTTAGAGTAGTTAGTTACCTGTTTCCTTGCATTTCCAGGTGGAGCGAAGTGCTTTGCTCCCAATCGCCCTTTGATAATAATTCTTCAAGTTTAGGACAGAATTTAGCCCGGGTTCCTGCCCCTACTACTAACTGAGTAAATTAGAACACGCCAGATTTCAGTTTCCTGTCTGTAAAACGGGCTGAGAGTACATTGTCGTAGGGTGGTAATGCATGCAAAGCGTCCATAGGACCTAAAAATTTATGTATAGGCCTCAATAAATTAATCTAGTGTTCGTTCTTTATGATTTTTTTAAAGTTTTTTTTATTGATTATGCCATTATAGTTGTTCTATCCCCCCTTCATTCCCCTCCACCCTGCACACCCCTGCCCCCACCATTTCCCCCTTTAGTTTATGACCATGTGTCTAAAGTTCTTTAGATTCTATATTTCCCATACTATTTTTGCCCCCCCATCTATTTTCTACCTATCATCTATGCTACTTATTTTCTGTACCTTCTCCCCCCTTCTCCTCCTCCCACTCCCCTGTTGCTAACCCTCCATGAGATCTTCATTTCTATGTTTCCGCTCCTGATCTAGCTGTCCTTTTAGTTTGCTTTTGTTTTAGGTGTGGTTCTTAATAACTGTGAGTTTGCTGTCCTTTCACTGTTCATCATTTTTATTTTCTTTTTCTTAGGTAAGTCCCTTTAACCTTTCACATAATAAGGGCTTGGTGATGATGAACTCCTTCAATTTGATCTTATCTGAGAAGCACTTTATCTGCCCTTCCATTCTAAATGAAAGCTTTGCTGGATAGAGCAATCTTGGTTGTAGGTCTTTGGTGTTCATGACTTGGAATACTTCTTTCCAGCCCCTTCTTGCCTGTAAGGTCTCTTTTGAGAAATCAGCTGACAGTCTGATGAGAACTCCTTTGTAGGTGACTGTCCCCTTATCTCTTGCTGCTTCTAGGATTCTCTCCTTCATTTTAATCTTGGCTAATGTAATGATGATGTGCCTTGGTGTGTTCCTTCTTGGGTCCAACTTCTTTGGGACTCTCTGAGCTTCCTGGATTTCCTGGAAGTCTATTTCCTTTGCCAGATTGGGGAAATTCTCCTTTATTATTTGTTCAAATAAGTTTTCCACTGGTGGCTGTTCCTTTCCCCCTTCTGGTACCCCTATAATTTGGATGTTGGAGCGTTTAAAGATGTCCTGGAGGTTCCTAAGCCTCTCCTCATTTTTTTGAATTCTTGTTTCTTCATATTTTTCTGTCTGGCCATTTTTTCCTTTCTTCTGGTTCACTCCCTTGATCTGAGTCCTAGTTTTCTTTTCATCACTATTGGTTTCCTGTACAATTCCCTTCATTTCAGTTAGTTTTGCCTTCACATGTTCCTCTAATTTGTGACTAAAATCAACCAGTTCTGTGAGCATCCTGATCACCAGTGTTTTGATGAACTGTGCATCTGAAAGTTTTGCTATTTCTTCCTCGCTTAGAGTTATGGGTTCTGGGGCTTTGAGATTTTCTCGAGCCATTTTTGGTCTGTTCGCACCCGTTAAGTATGAGGAGCAGAGCCTTAGGTGTTCACCAGGGCGGGGCCACCCAGGTCGCTGGGCTGTGATGCTGTATGTGGGGGCGGGGTCAGAGCCGGGAAATAGGGGCCCCCTCTGCTGCTTCTCACAGCTGGGGCCTGCTGGGTCCCATCTCACGGTCCATTCCCTCGCTGGTCTATCTGCGCACAAATGCAAGACCGCGTTCAACCCGCCACCCTCACTGGGTCCGCCAGTCACTCACTGGGTCTGCCCGTTGCAACCCCATGCCTGGGATTCACACGCCTGAGTCCATCTGACCTAGTTTTCCTGTGCAACCCCGCTCTGCCAGCTGCTGGCTTCACCCCTCTTACCAGTCAGGCTGAAGAATTTGTTGTTATCGGACTTCCGAAAAGTTCAATTTGCTGTGTTGAACTTCCGAAAAGTTCAACACAGTTCTGGCTGTGTTTTCTGTTGCTAATATTTTGTTGTCTCTAAACTTGGTTGTGTGAGAAAGCACGGCATTTCCACCTATGCCTCCATCTTTACAGAGGGGGAAAGGGAGGGAGAAA